AAAAAAAAAGAAGTGATTCCTCTTTTGGATGCAACTAAGCTATGGAAGTTCAGACAGTAAAATATATGTTCTCTAACAGCTTATTCTTGAACCCTAGTCCTTTAAGGAGACTTGTTTCCCTGAAGGTGAACGGATAGAAATCAAATCTAAGAATTGCTATTTTTCTTTCTTTCTTTCTTTTTGTGGTGCTGGGTATGGAATCCAGGATCTTCCACATGCTAGGGGAGCAGTCCACCACTGAGCTACAGAGCCAGCCCCCGAGTGGGTTTGTAAAAAAGAACCCCTCCCCCACACAAAAACCCACCCATAACCATCTGGGGTAATTTCTGGGACTATGATTGATTGATCTTAGGAATCATGATCCTTTTGCTGGCTCTTTTCTGTTCTTCACTGCTCATCTTTTTGGGGCAGAATGGGCCTGGCTTGTTGGAACAGCCAGGGCTGCTGTCCCCAAACCTGGGGTAGGTTAACTCGTTAAACCAGACTACAAAGAGCAAAAGAGCAGGGCTCAAAGGAAAGCTTGCTACACTCCGGGGCCCCTCACTGTATTCTACTGTATCATTACCCAGCAAGTGATTTTCCTATTCTTTCTACTGTCTAAGGTTACTTGTGGAGAAACTGGCCAACAATTTTTTTGCCTACCTGGAGGATGAACACTAGAAATCTTTCCACAAGTCAAGCAAACTACAGGAAATTAAGCCCTTTTCCACCTCGCACATCAATCAGCCTCTCACCATTTCGTGAAGCAGCACATTGCCATCTTTAGTAAGCTTGATGTCTCCGGCGCCAGAAACGAGCCTGTTCAACGGGCAGAGAAATGAAGTCACTATGCGACGTTTCACGGGGAAACCAAAGCACTAGCCCCAAAGAAAGCGGCCTTTCCCTGACGGTGGGGAGCGGGGACCCTGGGGCTGGCCACCCCCACCTTTCTCCGGGGTGTCCCAAGAGCGCAGGGCGGGGAGCGCGCACGCAGGCGGCTCCGTTCCAGCGCCGGGCCCGCGTCGCCGCCGCCGGCGAGGGTGGCGGCTGGGCCGGGAAGCCGTGCCCAGTCGCCGGAGGCCGGAAGGGGCTGCAGCGGCGAGCGTGCGCCCCGAACCCCGCCCGCGGCGCCCCGCGCCTCCCGCCGGCCCCGCCTTACATCTTCATGGTGCCTTTAGGCCCCAAGTTGGTCCTCAACACGTCCTGCAGGCCCCTCGCCGCGCTGATGTTGACCGCCAGCGCCGCCTGCGCGCGGGCCACCTCGGCCTTGGGGTTCAGGGTTTTCACAGCAGCCATCGCTGCTCGAGCGGAGCAAGTAGAGGAAACCAACGTGAGGCGCAAACGCCCGGTTCAGCGTGGCCGAGAGGCTCTATCCGGGTCTTCTGGAACAGTCTGGCACGCACGGCCCGCCCACGGCGTGCTCACGCCTCTCCGCCATTGGCCAGTGGGCCCGACGCGCGTGCTCATTGGCTTGCGGCGGTGCGCTACCTGCAGTTGGGCGCCATTAAGTTTGGGCGGAGCTTGCTCCGTTGCAGTCTGGGCTCGCAGCGGTTCCCGAGTCGCTGGCTACTAGACGGGGCTCCGCTGCCGGCCTCAACCTCAGGATGTGTGCGGTGCCCGCGAGGCCGGGCGCCTGGGCCTGGCCGGGCTCTTCTAGACTGAGATCCCCGGCCACTGCGCGTAGAGCGTGGGGCTTGTCTTTCGCTTCACCGGCGTGCCCACAATTTCTGTCCCTGGCTTTCTCCATCTCTTTTACTGGTTTTCCTGACGCTGTGCGCTTGCTGGCGTGCTGGGTTGGGTGGGGACACATGCGAATGTTATAAGTACTTTTCTCAAGTGTCAGTGTGTTTTGAGTTTTATCAGTCTTGATTTGTGGTTCTGGAAAGGCTCAAACTAGCAATCCTCTTGCCTCAGCCTCCCAAGTGCTAGTATTGCAGGCGTGCACCACCAACGCCCGGCCTTTTGGTGTCTTTTTGAAAGGACTCCTTAAACTTTGAGGCGCGGGCCTGGTGGACGGTAGCGACATTATTGGCGCGGTTCTCGCCCCATTTCCCAGGGAAGCAAGATGCCAGGGCTGGGGGCCAGGGAGATGGCTCAGTGGAATAAGCGCTTCCCAGGAGAGTTAAAAAAAAAAAAAAAAAAGCCAGTGCTGTCACTCAGGTGGAAGGCTGTCTCTCACCTGCTCCCTCTACTGGACAGCGACGAGATTGTGGCTCTGTGTAATACTGTTACCAAGTATAAAGAGGCAACAGAGGAGATTATTAAACCTCCAACTACTGAAAAGTCTTACACTGCGTGCGAAAGATTTATCGGGAAAGCGATCAAAACTCAACTGAGGGAAATACCAGAGCCAGTTACAAAGAAAAAAAGAGGACCTCCAACTCTCAACAGCAGGCATAAGGTAATGTTTTTAAGTGAAAAAGTTGATTTTTGTCTCCTAGGAAAATGTCACTGGTTCTTTGAATGTCTCAGTTCTCAGAATCCTTTTAGGGGACCACTGCAAGATGAATGGGGGCTGCAGCACGTCCAGCGTGCTGTCACGCTTCGGTGTATTACTGCACAACAGAATGTGATAGTCGGCCGTGGAGCAGGGGTCATTTCTTTCTTTCCCTCAGTCCAAGCTTAGATTCCCATGGACTGAAATGTGCTCCCCATGAGTTACTTATAATCAGTTGCAGGGACTATCCACCAAGGAAACATTTGGGCATCTTTTGACTTATCCACAGTCCTTTTGTGGAAAATAGTTGGAAAGTCAAATTTATCAACCTGAGAATCATTGGAGAAAGTCCTCTTGTTTCTGGAACAGTTCAGAAGCTCACTGTCACATCCCCCAGTGATGTAGAAGTGTTTTATCATGTGCTCACTTAGCCTGATAATGCTGGAAGAAGATTTCTGTAAGGTAGGCACTGGACAGTGGGGCTTCACATAGTGGAAATCATTGTGCTTGATTTTTTTTTTTTTTTTTTTTTTGCAGCGGAGGTGTTACAGGGGTAGAACTCAGGACCCTGCACTTGCTGGGCAGGCGTGTATGCCATTGAGCTATCTCCCCGGCCCAGCATTGCTGAATAAAAGACAACTCAGTTTAACCTTCTGAAACATCATATGGCATGTCAGTGATGGCAAACCTTTTAGAGACAAGTGCCCAATCTGCAATCCAAACTCCACTTACCACAAAGTGGGAACGCTGCAATTAAACTTGAATACTGAGGTTTTAGTTTAGCAAAAACAAGTCACACATTAACATCTTGTGTCTTAAAAGAAAAACAACATGCATGCCGTAGCTTTGCCGCCATTGCCTATATCAGCCAAAATATCTTCATACAGAAACTCAGATATGTCAGTAATTTCTAAGTGATTTCAGATGTGAGGATTGACATTTTAGTTGAAATACTTTTCTTCATTACAACCTTACCTTTGTGAATATTTGTCCATTTCTGAGTTTTAGCAAATGCTCTGAGAACATATTGCTGTTTGTCAAATAAATTCCACTTTAAATGTTGCAGTTAACTGTGTCCCTTAGGACAGTCCTCCTGCCTCAGTCTCCCAAGTAGCTGGGGATCTAGGCACGTGCCACCATATCTACTCATTAAGTTCTTACAAGAATCTTTTGAGGTTGGTAGGTCAGATATTATTAAACCAGTTGCACAAATGGTTAAATAGGCAGAGACATTAAATTAACAACTGAAGAAACCAGGCGTGGTGGTGCATGCCTGTAATCCCAGGACTGGGGAGGGTGAGACAGGAAGATCACTACCAGTCCAAACTGCTTAGTGGGACCCAGTACCCGAAAATACATAAATAAAAGATTTTTTAAGGGCCTGGGAGATCGCTCAGTGGAATAAACACTTCCCTGGTGAGCACAAGGGCCTGAGTTCAATCCCCAGCTCTACAAAATAAACAAATAAATGATTAAATTACCAACTGAAGGTCACACTGTGATGTATTAGAAGGCAAAAAACCTGGTTCCATCCTTGACTCTGCTCTTGGTCTCAACCCCCCAATCCAAAGACTGTGTTCCCTTGAGTGCTTTTCACTTTTAAATATCATCTCTTTTTTTTTCCCCATTGCCAGTACCAAATCCACACCCTTGTCTAACTTTCCTCAGTGCTAGACAAAATACTCAATTCCCAAAGTTAAAGGGGGAAAGGTTTATTTAGCTCACAGTTTGTAGAGGGTTCAGTCCAAAATCGACTGTCTTCAAAGAAGGGTGGCACGAGGCAGAGAGGTAGCCATTCGTGGTGGTGGAAGATGCCAAAAACAACAAAACAGGAGCGGTGAGATAAAGCCTCTTTCTGTCCTCTATTTTGTATGCAGGCTGTCCACCATAGGGCGAGTATAGTGCTCACTCCCTCAGTCCCTGCTTTAGACCATGCATAAATCAATCACAAACTCTAGCTAGATTCAGCTGCCTCCAGAAAGCCCGCCCATACAACCACATGAGGTTTTTGGGGGACATCCAGACACAAACTATAACATTCCACCCTAAAGATTCAGGCACATTCCTTTATTCAAAATGCATTCAGTCCATCTCTTAAAGTTATCAAAGTCCTCACAGTTTCAGCATTGCTGAAAAGTCCAAGTCCAAAGTCTCCCCTGAGATTTAAGGCAAGCCCTTAGCTGTGAGCTCCTGCACAAATGAAAGAAAGTTAAATACTTCCAACATCCAGTGGCACAAGATAAACATTCTGATTCCAAAAGTTACAAACAAGGGAATACAAAGGAATGTGACCAAGGCTAAAACCCAACAGGAAGAACATTAAGTCCTGTTGCTCCACATAGGACATCCCTGGCAAGCTGTGGCAAGTTGTGAACTCCAATGGGCTTGGGTGGCTCTGCCCCTGTGGCACCGCTGCTGGTTGCAGCTCCCAAGGCTTCTGTCTTGGGTTTGTCCGCTCCCTCCTTGCAGAAGGCCTACAGTCCTGGCTTCTCCAAGCTTCTGCAGTCTCCACTGAACCTTTGGCTTTCCACTCATAGCTGCACACATTACCTCTCTGGGGCACACTGCCTGGCCTGCTCTGCCTTCTGAGATTGGGGTGGGAGCATTTCTAAACCCACAACTCTTTCATTCTGCATCTTCTTAAAACCAGTGCCCCATAGATGATGCCAAGGCCTACTGCCAGCTGAAGCCGAAGCCAGTCTCTTGGCTGTAAGAATTGAGTGGGGAGATGGCTCAGTAGAATAAGCGCTTACCTGACAAGCACAAGGGTTTGAGTTCAATCCCTGGTTCTGGAAACAAATAAATAAATAATAATAATTGAGCCTGGATTAATGGACTTGACATCCAACTCTGAGGAACAAATTCTCCAGGCTGCTACCATTCTGGAACACAGTGCTCTGTGGCTTTCTTCTCAAAGCAAAGTCTTCTACTTTAGCAATTTTAGGGCTGCAAAGTGTGGAGGTCTACTGCTTTTTGTGATGTACCCAGGCCATCTTTTCCATTTTTCTGTTTCTTCTCAGCAACTGAGATCGCCTCTGTTCTATCATTGCAGTGCACAACTTTACTGGAGGGGTTTTTTTTTCCTGGCCAAACAACATTTTCACTCATTTTTACTGGGTTCTTTGTTCTTGATTCTCGACATAAACCCAGCTAAAATCCCCCCAAAAGAGCCATGTCACAGCCTCAACATTATACTGCCTTGAAATTCCTTCTGCCAGATTAGTTAGTCTGCTGCCCTTCATCTCAGTCTCAGGCAAAGTCTTTGGACATGAGAAAAATACAGGCAAACTTTCTGCCAAGCCATAACACATATTGTCTGAGATTAGGGTTTCAGCATTTCTGAAAAGTCCAAGTCCAAAGTCTCCCCTGAGATTTAAGGCAAGCCCTTAGCTGTGAGCTCCTGCACAAATGAAAGAAAGTTAAACACTTCTAACATCCAGTGGCACAAGATAAACATTCTGATTCCAAAAGTTACAAACAAGGGAATACAAAGAAATGTGACCAAGGCAAGGCTAAAACCTAACAGGAAGAACATTAAGTCGTGTTGCTCCACATAGGACATCCCTGGCAAGCTGTGGCAAGTTGTGAACTCCAATGGGCTTGGGAGGTTTCTGCTGGGAAAAACTGTACTGGCTCTGTCTTAGTTACTTTCCTCATTGCTGAGACAAAACACCCAATTCCCAAAGCTAAAGGGAGAAATGTTTATTTAGCTGTTTATTTAGCAGTTTGTAGATGTTTCAGTCCACAATCAACTGGCTCCAAAGCAGGGTGGCCCGAGGCAGAGAGGTAGCCATTCGTGGTGGGAGATACCAAAAGCAACAGCGTAGGAGGGTGGAGCGAGCCTCTTCCTGTCTCCTGTATTGTAGGCAGGCCACCTGCCCCAGGACAAGTGTGGCACTCATTCCTTTAATTCCCACCCTGGACCGTGAATCAGTCATATATTCTAGATTCAACTGCCCGCTGA